TATCCTCAATAACTTATGAAGTGCTTGAATTTATTTCACGGCTTATATGTTATCATAGTCCCAATTCAGTTGCATACGCGGTCTATTGCAGTCTAGCGTTCACGTTTTAGGTTGTCAAGAGTCCTCCTTTGAAACTACGCCATGCCGTTTATGTCTTCTTAAAGCCTCTTCTCTGAGCTAGCCCGTGGGAGCTTGCTAGCTCTTTTCTGACGATTGTCCAGATAATTTGGATCGGGGACAGGTCCAGAGTGTTGCCAGACCATGTCCCCTTCTCCAGAGGCCTGGTAGCCTCGCTCGGCACCAGTCCTGGGTCTTCCTGGCGTGATAAGCTGGAGCACTTTCTTGCTGGAAAATGGCCCTGGACATGTCCGACAAAAGTTTGACTCTGGTTTTTGAACCATTTACCTTTTCCCCAGCATCTTTATGGCAGGAGTCTTCTTCCGCACCTCGCTGACATAGTAATCAGCAGTCACGGTCTGTCCCCTAGGCACCTCGTGAAGCTCAGAGAGCCTCTGTAGCTCATTATGCTATGCTCCAAATGAAATTCTTCAGCAGACGTTTCACCGTCTCGACAGCGGACTCCTCAGAGCTGCCGTTGGCCCACATTTCGATCGTTCTGGCAGTAAGGGGCTTAGAGACCACAAAGGGCACCTCGTCACTAAAAAGGACGCATCTCCAGTTCTGAATGGTCCAGTTTTTGTGGGTCTTGGCGAAATCCAGCTGCCTGCAGTTCTGGACCACGGTAAGCCAGGTCGGCATCCTGAAGCTGAAGCTTCAAGATATAGTCTTCAAATACTGGTGGAGGGTCGATTTGGATGCTGGGACATGCATCTCATTCAGTTTTCTTGTCAGCGATGTTGAATGGTACTTTTTAAAGGTCGACTTTGCAATCACGATTTTCGCCACTCGGCTCAAGGCAGTCTTCCGCCCTCGAACTGTGCTGTTCTTGAGTGTCTCTCCTGATCGTTTGCGGTCCATCCAAAGTTTAATTGTCGCAGAGTTGACGCCCAATTCTCTGGCATCCGGAACCTGGGTCACACCGTCCTTGATCATGTCCCCACCGCGCGGTAGCGGATCGGTAGTTTGTGCCTTTTCACTTTTCGTGATATGCAGTTTCTCCACGTTGCCTGTCTGGACAAGAGTGGCCCTCCCGCGCCCACTACCGGCCGTGGTCGGGTTAGCCGCTTGTTTCACGCGATCGTGTGACCAGCAAGATGTCAGTGGTGCCAGAGCCGGTAAAATTGCAGTTGTTCAGCACTCGGGAGGGACAACATAACATGCGGCACCAACCGCGCATCAATTTCGGGACACCCTGTATACCAGCTATCGCAAGCTAAATATAACCAGAGGCCAGTTTGAGGATTGATGGATATTTCTTCGACGTTCACCAATCCCTCCCCAGCCGATTGTAGTCACACGGTCGCCTCTTGATCAAGCTCTTGATACCTGTCGCAGGGTGAGGATGGTGTGGGGTGATCACTCTTCCACGGTGTGGATCTGGACGGTCCCATACATAGCGCCACTTGGTAGCAACTATAGTCTGGCAAACCTAAGAAAGAACGGATTCAAAGCGCAAGCACCAGTGATGCACGTTTTGATGTTGAATAAAATATATCAAAGAATATTTCTCTCGCGACTTTTTACACAATTTTTCTTCTAACCATATACGTCCAGTGATCAAAACACGTGGCAAAAGGATTCAGGAGCAAACTCCGTTCTTTCTTAGGTTTGCCAGACCATAGCAATTAGCAGACATGAAGTGGCCCTGTCAAACACCCTTGATGAACAATTAACATGCTTATACGAGAACCCACCTGGGACCTGCACAATTTCCGTGTTGTAACAAAAGCCGCACAGTACCAAGCAGAACTAATTCGTAAAAGTCAGAAACCTGAAAAGCTAGCGTCATCAACAATGTGCCTATAATTGACTGCTCGGTTAACCTGCGCACCGACGGGGGGGGGGGGGGGCGGATATCCGCCCCCCCCCCCTGAGGTTTTTCGCGAATAGCGGGAAAACCGCTACAATAGATGATAGCTACAATGCTACAATGCTACTATGAGAGCTACAGAGCTACAATAGATGTCAGAGGCCTTTGAAAGTCGCAGGATGCTATTAGGTCATTAGTAGCTACAATTTGTATATCTCGGAATTTTCATAGCGGTGACCTAAGGTCAGGTCAATTTCGCGACCTCCCCATTATAAGTCAATGGGGGAAAAATCAACTCCCTGTTTTTTACCTCTAAAACGGGTCGGAATGGCCCAATATACCATACATGACTTCATATACGATCACACTTCACTACCTTGAGGTCTGTTTTGCTGTTGGGCAGCTGTGAGCCGTGAGGTCATGTGACGTCATCAAAGGTCACCAAAGGTTTTTGGACAATAACTCCGTACAGGAACAAGATACAGGCGCGTGGATGGTCTCATTGTGTTCAGCTCGTCAAGACGCATCGAATGATATACATGATGACCTCGAGGTCACGTGACCTGAGGTCAACCTTTGACCTTGATTTTTCGAGGTCAGCATATATATCATTCGATGCGGATTGACGAGAGAATCACGATGATGCCCTTAGTTTATTCCTATCTTGACTAATTCGAAAGTTATTCGAGAAAAACTCTCCATATCTAGCGCCGCCATTTTGACTTTTTCGAACCCTGTGACGTCATCTTTGACCTGACCTGAAAATGACCTTTGTAAAACTTGTAGATCTTGACCGTGCGTATCCGATGCCGTTTACCGCTTGTCGCTATCTTGCTTCGTTCTCGAGATCTCAGGGGGGGGGGCGGTCATCCGCCCCCCCCCGTCGGTGCGAAGTTGGCGCAGACCCCCGTCGGTGCGCGGGTTAAGGCTCAACCGAACTCATTTCAAGTTGACTGTATAAATGCAGCAAAGACCTTTCGTTATCCGTTACTCTAAATCGTCATTTACCGTAAATCGTTAATCGTTAATCGTTAAATTTCTATCAAATTTAAATTTGACACATTAATTGCCCAACCTTTCACTGTATTCGCTTTCTGAAGGGCGACAAACATCGAAAAAAATATAGCAACATTTTCACAGGTTTGCGCACTCGTCATGTAACCGGAAACATATTTTCTAAAAGATAGATACCGTGACATGTTTTCATTATGTCACGATATCGATCTATTTTTTTTCTCATTTCAAGTTCCCAAATCATCCTACCCTGACCGCGACCTATTCATCACCATTCCCTTGTGACCCGACCCGAGCAAATCGCGTCAGCTCTATCTTGCACTGTATTTTCCAGATGTCTGCCCCGTCCCCAGACCCCTCCCTAACCGACGCCATGCCAACCGCACCATCCTGCCTGCGGCTAGTGAAGACGGCGGTGCCAGCCCGCCTATCTGACGGCCTTCCTGGCCAGTCGGCCGCAGTTGTCGTCACCCTTCCTGTGCCGGACGTGGCGGTGCAGACCAGCTATCAGTGGAGCCCGGCCGGCCCGGTCTTCATTCGCAGTTAGCTGAGTCGTGCCTAGCTAATATTATATTTACACTACCTCCAGTGGCCACCACACGCCATGGTTACCATGTAATGGTTCGGTACAGATGTGTATGTATGTACCGTTCCGTACATGCCTGCTAATGTATAATAGCTTTTACGAGAAAACACATTACACAAGACATGTATCATAAAAAACATGAAGCCTATTAACAATTAACAACAGTAATTGCTCACTAAACCCATTTCAATAAACATCATCGAACAACAGTTTGTACTTGTATAACAACAAAGGCCACCCCGTAACACATCGAATAAGTATATAACTATTTACACGTGATGAACATCAAACATACCCATTTTGTACATAATGATGCCAAAACTCACCTAAAACCTATACCTATTTGTCTAAAACCTATCTATTTGTAACTTTCCGGCCTCAATAAAACGGTAATGATATACCATATGGCATATTATTTGTGAATGTTTTCATTTTCTTTTTCAAATATCTGCACAGTCGACACATACTGAACTTGTCTGCCACTGTAAATATCTGTCCCTCGACTTGTTCTCCCTAGTGGCGCCTCCTCGGGGTTGTCCGCGACTCCGCTGATATCCTGAAACACAAACAGAATAGGTTTGAATGTAGCAAATATGAGCCTGAGGAGACCTAACCCTCGCAGGCCGAGGGGATGGGTGTCCCCCCCACGCACAGTTTTTTTTTCGCGATAACTCGGAACACGCTGGATATGGAGAGCTGAAACTTGGCATACCTGACCTTTGATTCAAGTTGGATATTGTGACACCAACCACATTTCCCGGCTAGGTCAGGTCACTGACCTATGATGTCACAAGTAAACCTCTGCACGGTCCTCAGGATCCACAACTTCACAACGTCTTCAATGCCAGAGCAGCTCTCACAGGGAGATGAAACTCACCGGACCTAGTATTATCCAAAGGTCTCACAACTTGTATACCTCGGATTTTTCCTAAATCTCACATTAGGTCACGTCGGTCACGTGAGCTCACCAATATAAGTGATGAAAAGAAAGGTGCCATGCTTCAATTTTGCGATGTTGACCTTGACGTCACTAGGCTCATAAAGAGTATTTCGTCAATAACTCCCGATCAAATTAAGCTAGCGAGTCGACAAAGCCACCAATGGACTCAGAAAGACCTGCTGAATCGAGTGAATGCCATATGACCGTTGACTACCTCCGACCAACTTCGGGACCGAGGGGCTCTGACCTGACCTTGACCCAAGGTCAACATCTGAACTTGATTTAACCCGTACAAAAGCATATCTTTCGATGCGCCTGAGCGAGGCGAACACGATGGGACCACAATGGCGGCACTGCGGCCTTTGTTGCAAAGTTTTTTTTTTAACAAAAATCGAGCCCGTGCTTTGGGCCACTAGACCTGACCATAGAGGTCACCGGTTGACCTGAGACCTTAAATTTTGGTACCAGTCGATGCGTCTCTAATCGGCGCACACGAGTCGCTTTTACTGCGAGGCTCTAGCTCCATCAGGAGCAGGATGGCAAGGGTCGTATCCCCCCTCCCCCACCCCTCGGCCGGCGCGTTTAAAGAAAGCCGGCGGGTCCGTCGAGGGCTAATGAACATGAAAAAGCTATGGTGTGTTTCATTTCTTCCATTGGGTGTGTCCCACAATTTTTCATCCTGATTAAATGCAGAAAACGTTGAATAACTTTCAACAAAATGAACTCACGTCGGTCACTTTCTGTGGCGCCGCTCCTGCTTGTTCCGCCGACAGCAGAGGCGCCGCTCCAGATCCTTCCTCTCCTGCCCGTGACGCCTCCTCTGCTCCTCCAACTCCTGGTTGTGCCGCTCCTGGAGCTGGATGAGCTGCTGGCGGTGTCTTCGTGTCGCCTCTATGAGGTTCCTGAAGTACTCAAGGTGCCGGCTCGGTTGCCGTCCCTGTTCTTGTTGTTGTTGTTGCTGTTCCTGCTGCTGCTTTTGTTGTTGTTGTTGTTGTTGTTGTTGTTCCTGCTGCTGCTCCTGCGTCTTGAAGTCTGAAATAAGAATGTCCAAGGATGATACAAACAGCAGGGCGTATTATAAGGGATTTTCACTGGGTCGGCAATCACAATTAGGGGCGGCATTTTGCACTCATAGGGGCGGCACTTGGCATCTGAGGGGGGCGGCATACCTGCTGATATTTAATGACCAAAAAGACACGTTCGACATCGACGGTTCTTTTATAACTCTTTCAAAGTAATGATTTCAGATTCAACCTAAGCTCAGCGGTATTACGTTTATTTTTCCGGGATATAGTATTTTTCTCGTCATTATGCGATGATTGAACTATAATTTGACTTCACAAAAATTAATTTAAAAATTGAACCTGAGGTCAAGTTCATGACCTCACCAGAAATAAAATATGTTGCATACCAGTCGATCCGTATCGTCAAGCTTAAAACGTTCACGGTGTTTTATGGCTCTATCTACATAGAACATTGGTCGGCAGGTCGCACAAGTGGTGCCCACTTTATGGGCGCTGGACGGGGCCATTACCCCCACTTGTCATACCCCATTGCTTACACAGCAAGGGTCGCTGATATTCGGCCATATCCTTTGACGCCTCTATTTTTCTGCATAAAGATAAAATGCAACACAATTAACTCTCTTTTTATGGAGAGGGAGAGCGGGTGGAGTAGGGATGAACTCATACATTTTTTATTTATTAGTTACTCGCGTAATGAACAGCGTATTGCAACGATACGTTCACCCCCCCCCCCCCCCCCCAAGTTAATGAATGTTATACCTACATACTCAAACATTTTCGTGACCCCAGTGACATTTTCATTGAGTTTTTGAAATTTGAATGACCTTCACTCGGTAACTTTCTCTCCGGCTCGACCGGCGGACAAACGCAAGCGAAGACAATGCGGGGAGTCCGGTGCTCTACCAACTGAGCTACGGAACAGGCAAATGCTCACCATAGATACACCGACTGAAGGATCCCTTTATAACTTCAGCGATTGATAAGACAAACAGTCTGTAACTGTATATATAAAATGTAAGTCTCGAAATTGCGATGTCTTTGACCAAAGGTAAGGACAATTTTGCGACCCTTCCATTAGGTATAAGGAAATGGGAGAAAATCAGGGCATTTGTCTCTTTTTAAGGTAGACAAATGTCAAAGCAACGAATTTTAACATCAGAAAACAATAAAAATGACACACTTAATCGGAAAATTACCACCCACGACCCCTCGTTATGTCCTTGAGGTCATGTCAGGTCATGGAAGGCCTCCAGCAGTTTTTTCCAATAACTTCTGATAGAGACATGCGACATGCCTGAGCGATGAAAACACCTTAGATGATTTCAGTTTGACGATACAAATCGACTGATATGCATCATGACCTTTACCAGTCAGGTCATGACCTGGACCTGAGCTCAAATTTCCCAAATGACATTTGAATGTCAAATAATAGTTCATTCGACGAATCTCGACGAGAGGAGCACAGTACTCTGAAAAAACAATGTCATAACTTTCGTGAGTCAATAATTATTACAGTAAAGAGGTTCTTCATTAACCCTCGCCGGCACAGGCCATTTTGAGTCCTTCGACGGCAAAGGGGGGTGGTACGACCCCCCCCCCCCCCCTCGCGTTTGGCCCCTACGAGAGGAAGCCGATGATACCCAATTTTAAGGTCCTAGGTCATCGGGTGACCTTCCAGGTCAGGTCAATGACCCGAAAACCGGGAAAATCGGGACCTGTTAGAAAGTCGTAAAGTGTGGCTGCCATGTGGTTTTCCGGGGTGCTGATCACGAATATCGTGTTAGTTTTGATCAGAGATGATGTCTTGAAGCATTTAGACCAGGTCGGGTCAGGTCAGGTCAGGTCAACCGGTAGGGGTTGTGACGGGTATTCGTAATACGTGTCAACCGCCTCGGACAGCTTCGTAACATGTTACGAAGGCACCAAAACTACTTCGTAAATGTTCAAATGGTTGCTAAATTCGAATTCAGCTCCAAAAACTAGCCTAGAAACATGTAAAACTTGAAAAAGTGAACCGAGGTCAACCGAGGTCACCAAAGGTCAATGACCTGACCTGACCTTCAGCTGACCTTGACACCCACCCTGATGCATGGGAGCAACATCAAATCACATGTTTGAACGTTTGAAACAACGAAAAGCTTGCAAACGCGCGGCTAATGCGAGCCGACACGCGCCGAACCGCGATTTCGGCCAAACATGGTCACAGAAAAGAGGTCACAGGTCAAAGGTCATTGGGGTCAGGGTCATGAAATTTTCAGGGTAGGTGTAAAATTGATCAATGCGAGAGTACAGAAAGTTTCGTCGCGATCAGCCGCTTTTTACGCGAGTTATTCGCGAAAAACCTTAGGGGGGGTTGCATCAGCCCCCCCTGTGCCGGCGAGGGTTAAAATAGCTCAGTAGGGGGGCGGAGGGGGGTCCATTGTCCACTCCAACCCTCTCCGGCCCGGCACGGGTTAAACAAGTTGTGCTCTAGAGGTTAAGCCGTTGATGTTAGGTCAAGTCTGAGAACTTTATAGGAACGTTGAAGAGCTATCGAATGCGCTTTTTCGCGGTGCTGTAGTTCTATTCTTCTCCGAGTTATGCGCCAGTTTGTCAATAGATGTTGAAACAGACAACATTTCATCCACATTTCACCTTTGATGACCTCTGGTCACCTGTTATTTAACATTTGACTTGACCTAACCAAAGTACGGTTAACCAACTAACCCAAGTAGTTTTTGACACTCTTTCGAATACCGCTTACCGCGTGTCGATATACGTGGCCCAGTAGCCAAGTTATAGGGGTCAGGAGGGGGGTTCAAACAACCTCAGCCCGGCGCCGCGTTAAGGGAAAGCACCAGTGGCGGATCCAGGGGGGGGCTGCGGGGGCTGGCAGCCCCCACCCAAGGAAAACTGGCGCCACTGCGCCGAAGGCGCAGTGGCGCCAATTTTCAATTCGCAACTCATCGGAGTGCCGCATACTAGGACTAGGATGCAAAATCAGTCGAATAACGTCGTTTCAGTACGCTCCGCACCGATATTTCCAATCGTGTGGTGTCACTGTACATACTGATCCTGGGCGCCTCTTGTCAGGGCCACTGGGCGCCAATATTTCAGCGCCAATACGATGCGACTATGGCGCCCATCCGGGGCGTGGCGCCCAATTATGACCTGCAGCCCCTCCCCAGTGAAAATCCTGGATCCGCCACTGGAAAGCACTATCATTTTGGGGGCGCTGCAGATATGCTAAGGGACGACAGCATCATTTTGAGGCGCGCCACCAACTTTTTTAGGGCACTTAACCCACTTTAAGGGACACCACCGACACTGTGAGGAGCGCAATTATCTCTTTGAGCGTTGACGGATGGCACCATTACATTGAAGGGCGCCATGTGAGCTGTGATGTGGGGCAAAATGACAATGAGGAGCGCCTCCGATGCTTAAAGGAAAAGGGCCACCTTTAACATGGGGATTGAAACTGAGATAGTCATCTTGTAGCCCGTGTCCGAAAACCTCTCTGTCTACCTCCTTACGGCCGATTTCGGCCTCCATTCGTAGTTATCGGCAATTTTAAAAGAAAATACGCCAGGAATGCGTCCTTATCCCAGGAATGCGTTCTTAGCCGACAATACAGCCACCCGCGGCGAGGCTTTGGTTTTTTACCAATCAGCTCCAACCAGCTCAGCTTTAACCAATCAGCTTATCTGACACAATCCGACGAGTCTGTGTTCTGAACGCTGATTGGCTTGAGTGTGACATCATCGCTATGCCATCATACAGTAGGTGCCGTAGAGAGTATCAACATAGTACCAATATGTTAAATAGTTTTAAATACTTTTTAGCGAATTGTGCACTTCTGGCACCAGTTTTAAAAAGAAAATGAAAAATAATAATGTCAAAATGAAAAACAACGATATCTTCATATTTCACGAAGGTGGCCCTTTTCCTTTAAAGAAGAGACGCCAACATTACTCGGGGGGGGGGGGGACAACATCACTTTTATTTTGAGGACGCCACCCACATTGTAGGGGAAGGTGGGGTAAGACGGACCAGCTAAGGTTTGAGGCCGCATATCTTGCTACACTGCTCTCGTAATTCATATTATTTATAGTCTTCGGAATGCTCAATCCTTCCTCTGTTGATATGTGTAAAGACTAAATTTCAATTTAAAGACATCTAGGTGGTGGATGCTCTTAAAGAGGGACATGTCAAAAACTCAGACAAGAAAAAACGTGGGGTAAGACGGACCACCCAGCAGTGCCTGCTATCCGTTCATGTGTGTTACACTTCTGCTCTGTACTCTTGTAAGAAAAAGTAACCAGAATGGTAAAATAACAAAATGAGCCTTTATTCTTTACTCATGTGTGATGGAAGTGCAGCTAAAAGCTGGGAACATGTGTGTTGATTGTCGTTTGGCATGAATGCATGCTAACTGAGCACTTGCATGCATGGCTCACATGCAACAAAGACTCCTTCCTGAAAAATTAGCTTACTTAAACTTGTGTCAATGTTTTGGAAAAGAACTATCCATATGCAGGGTACAATGGACCACCACAGGGTAAGATCGACCACAGTGGTCCGTCTTGCCCCAAATCTAAATTCTGTCATTATCATGACGTATATGTCAAATAGCCCAACATTGCAAAACCTTGCCTTTCCTAAAGTGTGACTATAACTAAGTTTATAACTTTGTTCTTCACAGTTAAGTGCAAAATAGAAACTAATCATGCAAGAAAGGCGCCGTAATTGAATCACCCGTAGACCTCTTATATATAGATCGGTTTGACGAAAAACAACATTTTTCTAAATAACTCAAAAGCTATGCATCCTAGCAGCATGAGCTCAAGGTGGCCATTGTTACGAAGGAAAACAAACATAGTGAGTGCATAAAGCAGTAGATACCAGCAGCGGTTCAGCCGGGAGGGCTGGTGGTCCGTCTTGCCCCGCTGGGCCGTCTTACCCCACCTTCCCCTAAGGGGCGGCACTGTAACTTTAAGGACCGCTGCGGATACTTTAAGGGGCGGCTCCATCATATGGAGGGGCGCTACAGATCGTTCATGGGCGGCAATAGGTATGATATTTAGGGACTCCGATACTTCAAATGGCGCCACCGTTTGTTTGAGGATGACATCATCACTTTGAGGGGCACCACCGATACTGTTCGGGGCGCCACCGACACTACATATAAGGGGCGCCACCGACACTGCCAGGAGCACTTTGACCGACGTTACTATCACATTTAAGGGCGCCGTGAGCACATTGGGGAGGGTATGGCGGCACCATGACGTGGAGGGGCGTTACGGAAGGTTTGAGGGGCGGCAACATGACATTGAGGAGCGCCTCCGACACTTCGAGGGACACCAGCATTTCTTTGAGAGGCGGCACCTTGACTTTTGAGGAGACACCACCGACACTGTAAGGGGCGCACCATCACTTTGAGGGGCGCCACGGATAGTTTGAGAAGCGGCACCATTATGTATATGGAGGGGCGCTACAGAAAGTTAGAGGGCGGCAACATTTTATTGATGAGTTCCTCCAAAACTTTGAAGGGCGCCACTGGACACTGTTAGGGGCGGCACCAGCACTTTAGGGGCGGCAGCATCATTTTGAGGGGCGCCACCGACTCGTTGACAGGAGACACCATCACATTTAGGGGCGCCACTGGCACTTTGAGGGAGGCACCATCACATTGAGGGGCGCCACCGATACTGAAAGGGGCGGCATCATCTTCTTGAGGGGCGGCATCATCTGCTTGAAGGGCAGCTCCATCACAATGAGGGGCTATGGGGATACCTAGAGGGGCGGCACCATTATATTGGTGGGTTCCTCTGACACTTCGAAGAGCGTCACTGACACTATAAGGGGCGGCACTAACACTTTAAGGGGCAGCAGCATCATTTTGAGGGGCGCCACCGACTTGTTGGCGGGCAGCACCATCACATTCAGGGGCGGCATTATCTTCTTGAGGGGCGGCATCATCTGCTTGAGGGGCGGCTCCATCACAATGAGGGGCTATGTGGATACCTAGAGGGGCGGCACCATTATATTGGTGGGTTCCTCTGACACTTCGAAGGGCGTCACTGACACTATAAGGGGCGGCGCCAGCACTTAAAGGGGCGGCAGCATCATTTTGAGGGGCGCCACCGACTCGTTTGCGAGCAGCACCATCACATTCAGGGGCGCCACCGGCACTTTGAGGGCGGCACCATCACATTGAGGGGCGCCACCGATACTGAAAGGGGCGGCATCATCCTCTTGAGGGGCGGTATCATCACATTGAGGGGCTCCACAGATGCTTAGAAGGGCGGCACCATTACATTGAGTGGGGCTACTAACAGATTTAGGGGCGGCACTGTCACATTGAGTTGCGGGATCATCACTTTCTATAAACGGCTGCTTCACTTTAAGAGGCGGCATTATCATTTCGGAGGGCAGCAGCCTCACTATGAATGACGGCACCTAGCCTGCATGTGCGTGCTGCATCCTAGAGGGGGCGGCAACTGGGGTCGGCAAACGGCTGTCACTGGGTCGGCATTCTCCGTGACTGGGTCGGCAATTGCCGACCCAGTTAACATGTTAAAATACGCCCTGACAAACAGTACATAAGAGTGCACACAAATTTAGCCTGGGATGATCAGGGAGGACAAATTGTACCTAGCCTTTTTAAGTGACTGGCAAAACCTCTTTGGTAGTTAATTTGCCGTCACGCACAACCACAGCATGTAACTATAACATCTTACAGTTCGTTCGTGTTCTTGACGAATAACAATACGACAATGAATATTATCACTCATCTTCATCTGAGATCTTACCTCGTGCAAGTGTCTCCTCATTCTCTAGCTCCTTCTCCAGCTCCTTTCCCAGCCGATGAAGCCTCCTGCTGCACTCCTCCATCAGCCGATCCAACTCCTCCCCTGTCCGGATGTTCGGGTATCTCTCCTCCAGCTCTTGTGTTTCTCGTCGGTGTTTCTCCTTCATTTTGTTCCACTGCTTCTGGGCCTCTTGCTCCAGGTCGTCCCATTCGATTTGGTGCTTTCGCTCCAGCACTGCACATTGCCTACGTTTCCTCCGGTTCAGCAACTCCATCTGCCTTTGACGTTTCTCTCCAAGGAGCTGCGACTGTCCCTGAGTCTGAAGTTCGACACACCTGACAGCACTGTCGTGTAGCTGATGGAGTCTTTTTCGCTCCTCATGGTGCCGCGTTTTCATTTGCCACCACATCTCATCATGATGCTGCTCCAGACGCTGGCATTCCTCATCTTGCTGCTCGTTCAGACTCCTCCGTTCCCCGTAGCCATGCTGCTCAAGCTCCTGCCACAGCTTCTGGTGTTGTCGCTCCAGCTGCTGCCATTTCTCTCGCTGAGGGCTAGGCAGACCCTCCGATGTCTGCTCCTCGTCTGCGTCACGCCGCTCCTCGCCACCGGCCTCTCCGTTGTCATCCCGCTCCGAGTCTGAAACATAGTTAGTAGGTTAGGTGGGAGTTAATAGGTCCATTGGTAGTCGAGAGACTAAGTTGCAAGACAGACACAACTTAGCGTCAATAGAGGTGAGACAGGAACTGGTCAGAGGAAGGCCAGACGGTTGGGTCGGTGTCAGCTTGGTCAGGTGGGGCGGACGGGAAGAGAAGGTCTGTCAAAAAGGGTCAGGTGGGGGAGATTCTAGTGAAATGGGACGAATGTCATTCGGTGGTCAGACGGGAGGAACATCGGTGGGGTCAGGTGGGAGGTCAGTCGGTGGGGTCAGGTCAGTGGTGGGGGGGAGGGTGATGTGGGAGGTCAGTAGGTTAGATGCGAGATCAGGTGAGAGGAAAATCGGTGGGGTCAGGTGTAAGGTCAGTCCGTGGGGTTACGTGGGATGTCACTCGGTGGCCTTATGTATTTATAAATACCAAAGACGCTTAAACATCACACAAAGTTATAAAAGTAGTTTATTGTCTCAACCTGAACCTGTAGTTCTTTATGACCACGCTTTATTTTAACCCATTAGAGCCGAAAACTTTTTTGTCGACATTCACTGTGATTTGAAGTTTTAGACTTTCACTGTCATTTTAAGTTTTAACATATGTTTGTCAGGCACCCTTTAGGAGAATACATGTGCATTTTTAGCCAGATCACGAAACCGGAAGTGTACGTTTCCGGTCTGGCAGCTTTTGCTGCCAAGCGTATCTTACATAGTCAAAAATGGAGTGGTTTGTCACATTTCAAAGCACAAACATATCAAAACCGCGAGGAAATGATCTTTCGATACCAACAACCTTTGCCACAGAGTGTCTCCTGTTGGTGCATGTACAATTTTCACGAACTATTTTATTTACGTACTATATAGATATGATCTTGAATATGTGTAATTGTTCGGATTTCCATTCGACCGTAGCCTGCAAATAACGACCGTAGCCAATAATTCTCAAGAATAATGAACTCAAAATCCAGACCTCAGCAAACAGTTCAGCTCGTTCTGAGAGATCATGTTCTTTCTCTTATTATTTCAGCTCACACGCGCTTCCCCTCCCCACAAAATCTTATATAGGATGCGACGAAGGTTTTGATGACTTCCGTCGACCGTATATTTAAAGCAACTTGGCGTGTTTCCAATGTGCTCCTAAATATCGCGTTCCTTTCAACGAATTGTGTCCCTGAGTCTTTCTCTGGAGCGGAGATTATCTGAAAAGCTGACCTTTACCAATGGGGGTCACTGGCATGGGTAATTGTTTAACCATTGAACGGCGCATTTACGGAACGTCTAAGCATGAAGGTTTAGCTTTACAGTTGAGAGGTTCGTAGTTGCGCTGTTGGCATGCTCCAAGCTGGCAAGTGGCAACACATGGGAGGACGCTGCCTCACACTTCTAAGCCCCCGTTTTCACCAACAAGCGCTGGTGGAAGAAGTTTAGGGACAAGTAGCGTCACGAATAAGCCCCAATCAGCATGGTCCTCCTGCGTCTCAACCGTCGCCAAGATCGTCATGAAGAAAGCACCGGGGAACTCTGACCATTCTGCGGAGAATCTGAAGTCTTATTCATAATGATCACTCGGATAATGTTGTCCATTGATAAGGGAGGAACGCCCTTGGACTGAAGGCGCTTGACTATTGGTGCGGCCAAAATAACGAAAATCAGCAAGCCCAGAGCCCTCAGATTTGCACGAAACGGAGAATCTGGCCGGTAGAAGAGTGGAAACGGAGTAGGTATGTAAAAGCGGGTCTAGTTCGGCGACGAGTCTCCGTTTCAATGGTTTCACCACACGGACTCCCAAAACGAGCATGGGCTGAAAACGCGGCCCAAGTTCCGACATCTGCGAAAATTTTTGCCGCAATGGTATGTCGAACGATCACGATGTCCTAGCAGGGCCTGAGCTGAACCAGCTGGACGTGATCTAGCAAAATACGAAGTCGATCCCGACTACTACCTAGAAAACATACCGAAAAAGCGTGCATTTGGCATTAAAAGACCACTACCCCGTGCTCCAACGGCGCATGGTGTCCCGCAGGTCGGACAGCATTTTCATGCCGGACGGTACTCCATCTCATCGATCTTCCGGAACTAGGCGGTGCCAGGATCATCTGTCCGATATCTGGGGGAAGGACACTTGGCTAGGGAACAGTCCTGGCCTAAATCCAATCGAATTATTTTGGAGGATAGTGCAGCAGGATATACAATACAATACAGGATATACAGCAGGATATACAAACTTTCCGGCGACCTCGGACAGCTCGGAAGGGCGCTCAAGTCCCAGGCGCCCCTTTTTCACATGGAGGACGTCCCTTTCAGCTTTATAAGCACCCCTCTTTCCCATGTAAGCGCCCATTTCGTCATCAAAGGCGCCCCTATAGGTCTCAGAGGCGCCCCTCTTTCTTGTGCAATGCGCCTCTTTTTCATATGCAATGCGCCCCTCTTTCGCATAAAGGTGCCTTATGGACATTACATGCACCCCTATAGATCTTACAGGTGTCCCTCTTTCTCGTAGAGGCGCCCCATAGGGCTTCATAGGCGCCCCTCTTCGGCATGCAGGCGCCCCTCTTTCGTGCAGATGCGCCATTATGGCCATGACCTTCGTAGGCGCCCCTCTTTTGCATGGGGGGCGGGAGCGGGGCGGGGGCGACCCCATAGTTAGGCCTCAAAGGCGCCCCAACAGGCCTAGCGGGCGCCCCTCTTCCCGTTCATCGATAGAGCCACGGCACCACATTCCCTTAGGCGACGGCGCGCCCCTTGAGCGGGATGGCGCCTGTGAAGACAGTTTGTCCGCACCACTCCGTTCAACGTCCCTGCTTCAGGAATGGCGGAATACATTACTAAGACGCCTGGTAGTGTGTTGGTATGCAATGCTCTGCAGACAAGAATAAATAGCAGAAACCCCGGTAATGACCATTTTTGGAAAGGCAAAGGGTTGGGGCATTACACCATGAGCCATAAAGCCAGACATTGTTGCTCACTTACGAATGGCATAGCAAAAAGGACGTAACTGCTCCATTTTTGACTACGTAAGATACGGTTGGCAGCTTTTGCTGCCACTGAAATATAACGTACGATTAGCGATACTTAGAGAAATTCATGTCGCACCTAAGCTCTTTCCATTGATAATCACACATTTCTTTACAATAATCAATAATAAAAAGGTAACATTTATTCACACCACCTTCGCAACTGACTTCTTTGGTGTCCGCCGCACGGCCGCCATCGCGCGCCCCTTGCACCCCCGCGATAAATTGTTTATTTCTCAGCACATTCGCTTTCTCGATCAATAATTCGGAGCGCACATGACGTGCATTGTTTTGGTCTTCGTTCGGGTGAGAACTTTGAAAGTTCACCGCAACGTTTAGGAATGCGGCGCTATTTCGTCCTATGGCAGCAAAAGCTGCCAAGCGTATCTAATGGGTTAACCCATTGTTGCTTGGTGAGAACCTGAGGTCCATATGCATTATGTATTTTGTCAATTAATGACATAGTGTTAATTGATACATAACACTAGCAGAATTGAATACTACTTTCAGTAGCATACTTTTTGTCTTTTGAAACTCGGGGCATTTAAAGAACCCGAAAACGCATATTTTCATGCATTCTACAATATCCGAAGATCTCAAATTTGACACCATATCACGTACAGCCCTCAGCAGACTGCGTGGTAGGTATTCTTTTTTCGACAAAACCGATGATAATTCACAGGCTATGTTATCAATCGGTCGGAACTCACTGCAAATAGATGCGCCATGCTCCACTTCCTCGATTGGGTCTATCACTAGACAAAGTATATGCCTTGTGTGGCAACAAAATGCACACGTTTGTTTGGGGGAAAATATAAACTTTTGGATTTTGTTGCCAAGCTGGATAGCAAATGAACACGATGATAATGCCAATCTAAGGTGCGAAGTCTCGCGCGTCATGCTGTTACGATTTCCGATTGACCGATGGCATAGTATTCGCGTTATTTCCGGTTTTGTCGAAAAAAGAATACCTACCACGCAGTCTGCTGAGGGCTGTACCTATATTAAAACAAGATAGGTCGCTTAAAAGTCACAGAATATTTTTCAGTCACTATCAAAAGTCACAGTATAAATAAAAATAATAATTAAAAAACAAAATAATCAATAACGTACAAAACTCTGCATATTCTTATGAGCCCCATTGAACTCCTCTCGTATGTTGTCGCCACGTCAGCAAGGACACGGGGAGCTATTGGACTTTCAGTAAAAGCGGTGCGCGCCACTACCTTCTTACCTTCCGAGTCGGTCTCTTCCACCGCCACATAGTACGGCATCATCTCCCATCGGTCCGGCCACCAGCGAGTGACAGCGTCATAAGCAGTACGCAGCCGGTCACCGGACAGCAGCTGCTGCAGCCGGCGGCGCCAGAGGCCGGCCGTGGCGTCCACGGACGCGGCGTCCATCTCTGGCAGTCTGTGCTGGATCTGCTTGTGAAGGTCGTGGTTGAAGAACCGCCCCAACTCCTCCCGGGTCTCCTGGTAGGTGCGGATCGGTCGGTAGTTCCTTATCCGCTTGTCCTTCACCGTCCGGTCTATATCCCGCCACTGGTCCATCTTACCCGGCGCGTTCACGTCCACAGCCTGCAGCAGCAGCTCGGGCCTCAGGAGCAGCTCGGCACGGCCCCGCGGCGTGTTCAGCTCGGCGGTCAGTCCGGCCGGCCGCTCCTCCAGCGGCCGCCGCAGCTGCTGAGTACACCAGGTAGCCACCCTGTCCGGGTCACCCAGCAGGGAAACCAGGTCAGACCTGGTGAGGAGCTGTATCAGGGGCGTTACGTCCAGCGTGACGATGTCGCTGGCCGGTGACGTCATCGGCTCTCCTGGCACCAGGTCTGCCGGGTCGACTACGGTCCATGCCATGAATAGGCAGCACTGCTGCCGATATTTTCCTGAGACGCTGTAGTGCCACCACTGTAGTAGCAGTGGAGCTGTGTGGACCAGCGGGGGGATGTTCTCCTTCCACCAGCTCTCCCAGCACGGGGCTGTGGGGCGGTAACTGACACCGTCAAATATAGCCTGCAGTACGAGTGTCTTTCCGAGACGGAGTCGCAGCTCTTGCTCTGAGGGCGGCCCCGTACCGCCCTCCAGCAGCTGATCTACGTCCCACCGATCCACACATCCCGCCATCAGAAGAAGCGAGACATGCTCCCTCATTAGCCTTATGGTGTTGATGATAGCCCGTCTCTGGTCTGTACTGAGTTCAGCGGCCACATCAATGTTGTGATCGAAAAAGCAGGGCAGTCTTCCAGCGGCGAGGTTTGTCTCCAGCCAGTCCAGTATTTTGTGAGCACCGTCAGTGATGCCTGTCCACATATCAACGGGAGTGATTTGTGCTAGCCAAAGTCCGGCCGACTTAATAAAGTATGACTTCAATGGCACGTCCTCGCTCACCACCTCGTTCTTTTTCATTATACTTTTCATGTCCTTTACAGCCACGATAGCCGCTCGTATCACTGGAGGGAGGTGGCGGACGGCTACCACCTCCGGCCGTGAGTAGGAAATCCGATACTCGATGAACTCGGTGTCACTGCCAGGCCGGCCGGTCGGCACAAGGTGTACCCCGTATCGACGGATGTCATCCCTCGCCGCCGCTGGTGGAAAGTCGGCCCCCAGGTGGCATCCGTCGAGCTGGCCTTCTGCTGGCCACCATCCGCGCACAGCGATACAAGGCACGTAGTCAGTGCCGCCGTCTGTAACATCATTAGTGTGTTTGACATTGACTGCCGGTCCGGCAGTGTCGATCTTGCCTCCCATTACTGTACACACGTCCCGCATGAGCCGACGAATAGAGTCGGCCGGCAGGGCCTCCAGCGGCTTATCATGACAGCAGTCGGTCGTCCTCACCCAGTGCAGAGTCACAAAGCCAGGGTTTTTGGTCGGCCGGGCCCACAGCTGTGGTGCACACTTTGTGCTTATAACGGCCGGCTCCTCTCTCTTCCCCACCGCCGCCCAGTGGAAGGGACCGTCGAACTCGTACATAATGTCGAAGTCCGACGTCCCTCCTACGCCGACTTTCCCGTCATCCAGCCCCTCGGCACTGCTGCCCGATCTGTTGATGGAGGTGACCCTGAGGGGCTGGTCGGGCTGGCAGTGACGACACCGGGCGGCGGCGGCGTCATTGACATCCTGCAGGGCCGCCATGAGTGGTTCAGCCACCAGCCAGGTGACAGCGTCACTCACCTCACTCCAAGTACAATACCCTTGCCACCCTGCAGAGTGGTTATTCCTGATGTCTTCTGCCAACAGCAGCGTGTCTGGGATCAGGTGTGCACACGATCCGTACTTTCGCACTAAACTCCTCACTCTCCAATCCAGTCCCCTGTGCAGTCTGTTGATCCTCTCCGCTCTCCGCGCACCAAACACACCGGGTCGGGACATGGCTGCTGGCTGCTCTGTCTAACTCGGACTGACTGAGGTCGGCCGACGCCGCTGCACATATACATATCGAGCCCCGGATGAAGCCGAGATAAGAGTGAACGTTCCGTGGTTGTCAATGTTCACCGGCGGAGACTGACACGCTCTGTCGATATTACTGTCTTCGCCTGCACATATGACATATTACTCTCTATGATTGATGGAGAGAACAAAGTTAAGTCATTTGTTATCAATTTGCACCTTGCAGGCAGGATGCAACATGGCGATCAAAACATTTTTCATATCATTAGCTGCGAATTTCAATGGGTGCAATAACCGAAAATGAGTGTCACTGTGCATCAAAGTAAAACTGGAACTCTGATATATAAGCAAGCAGTAGACCGACATATTAGTGATATTAATCGATATTATCACAGCAATCAACCCACACCGGTCCAATCATTCCTAAAAAAGTTCAGTTGGTGTCCGCGTTCCTTCAAATGCACAACATATTTTCGTATCCGAGCCCTACATTCGGGTACGACGGTCAGAAACAGTTACCTAACTTTGATCACTGCGGTCGTTATGTCGAACCGTAATATCCTATATGTATAGTTACTGATGCTTAAAAATCAACCGTAACATTTTATATGTATGGCCATTAGCCATTGACGACGTGGAAATCCACATTTTAACCACCTAATTGTTTGCTATAATTTGAATGATGATGAAAATGTATCAAACCACCCACGGCTGATACAATATGTCAGATTAAAATAAAATCGGTATTCTGCTTGTATTTTATTTTATTAATATTTTCCCCCGGCTTTCGGCCGGTGGTGGCCGTCAGTGGAGCCTCTGCTAACTTTCAAACGATAGCTGTGACCCGACGGGCGATAGCTGGGAAACTGATTGCAAGGCACCGCATTCCTCGCCGCTCTACGGAGTGTCAGACCGTTAGACAAATGTAGTCCTGTTGACTGTGCTTATGATACAGGGGGGGGGGGGGGTTGATGGCGCCGTTCAGCAAACATCGTCTGACTCAAAAAGAAATGTACAGCATTGCTGTGCTATTAGTAACTGATTAGGGGCACTGGCGGATCCAGGGGGGGATTTGGGGCAAATGCCCCCCGCAGCGTCCGAAATCGACGAAAATTTGCGGTTTTTGAAGAATAAGAGGGAAACGAGAGAGAGAGAGAGAGAGAGAGAGAGAGAGAGAGAGAGAGAGAGAGAGAGAGAGAGAGAGAGAGAGGGAGAGAGAGAGAGAGAGAGAGAGAGAGAGAGAGAGAGAGAGAGAGAGAGAGAGAGAGAGAGAGAGAGGAGAGAGAGAGAGAGAGAGAGAGAGAGAGTGGGTGGGCCGTCAGTGGAGCCTCTGAGAGAGAGAGAGAGAGAGAGAGAGAGAGAGAGAGAGAGAGAGAGAGAGAGAGAGAGAGAGAGAGAGAGAGAGAGAGAGAGAGAGAGAGAGAGAGAGGGAGAGAGAGAGGGAGAGAGAGAGAGAGAGAGGAGAGAGAGAGAGAGAGAGAGAGAGAGAGAGAGAGAGAGAGAGAGAGAGAGAGGAGAGAGAGAGAGAGAGAGAGAGAGAGAGAGAGAGGAGAGAGAGAGAGAGAGAGAGAGAGAGAGAGAGAGAGAGAGATGAGAGATGATGGGACACCCGCCAGCTATGTTCACCTGTCACATAAAGGTCATAGCATGTCACGTCTAGTGTCCACAGGACGAGCTGCTTTCTCCTCGGGTCGTGACCGGGGTCAAAGGTCAGCAGTGGTGTCGGTCCTTCTATGACCTCCAGGTCACTGAGCCCCCAGTCGAGTGGTGATACCGTGCCAGTGTTGAGTAGTCCCGGTAAAGGAGGGAGTGTGACTACAGCAGTGTTCTAAAATTGGATTTTGGTTGGGTGTGCCGACGAAGAAAAAAGTCCTAGGATGAGAAAAAAGGAAATAAATAACCGAAGTATATTTGCAAAATGGGTGCAATGCCAATTTGTATGCCAACTGATAAACCAGGATTTCATGTCAGAATCTTGACAGGGTGTGAAACAAAAGGATGTGGGTGCATCAACTGTCAAGTGACATGTAAACTGGCTGTTGGGAATACATGAAACCTTTTTTCAGAGATGAAGTAAAGTCGGTCATTCATATTTTAGGGATGAAAGCATTTTCCCCATTAGGTGTGATTTGCCACCAAAAAGTCTGAAAAATGGAACACTGGACTACAGCCACCGAGTATCTGTATTACTGAGGTCATCATTAGGCACCAGTCATTGTCAACATCCGTCACTCAATATGGAGAGGTGGGGCGCTGCAGGGTAATGCGATATGACAATGTGGTGTACTTACTTACGCCTCTAAAACGCTGCAATAAGTCAATATCCGGACACTTCCTGCAGTCAGATACGACACTCAAAAGCGATGCTCACGTCATGCTATGTTTGACAAACGCCGCTTTATCAACACCAGCTTAGCTTTATGACACTGACGACTTTACAAAGATTGTTCTATCGCCACTCTGAAGAGCAGCAGAAAACATGGCCGCTAGCTGCAAGTCATCGGCTCAGCTATCATTAACAACTGTCCTAAGCCAGCTTTTACCTGATACCTATCACTGGCTTTCTTCAGTTTTGAGAATTGATGACAGCGGCTTCTTGGACGTTCCCCAATACCTCACCAGTGGACCCTAGTCACACGGTCGACTGTTGTTACCTGTCGGAGGGTTAGGATGGTGCGGGTTGATGACTCTTCCACGGTGTGGATCTGGACAACCCGATATAAACGTGATGGTAGCAGCGGAAAAAGAGCGGAAAACATGGCCTCTCATCCGATACCAGCTATCGCTAGCCAAATATAACCAACTCTCAGTTTGACGGTTGATGGATATTTCTTCGACGTTCCCTCCCCAGCCGCCCCTAGTCACACGGTCGACTGTTGTTACCTGTCGAAGGGTGAGGAAGAGGATGGTGTGGGGTGATCACTCTTCCACGGTGTGGATCTGGACGTTACTGTATGCCTGGCCTATTCAAATACATTAGCCTGAGGGGTGTGGTAATAACTGGTGTAAGCAAAGTGACCACGGTCAAAAACGAATTACCAAGTCAACATTTTGGGATGGCCTCGTTCAAAAAACGGCTAAGAGCTTCGGTCTAGACAATTATTTTATCGTTGGCATACAGTAAAATACATACCAAACTCGGCCGGTGATAAATTTTCAAGACCTCAGTCCTTACTGATTTTTGAACTCGGCCTTCGGCCTCGTTCAAAAATTCAGTAAGGACCTCGGTCTTGAAAATTTATTTACACCGGCCTCGTTCAGTATTATATAGTCCCATCTAACCATATACGTCCAGTGATCAAAACACGTGGCAAAAGGATTCAGGAACATAACTCCGTTCTTTCTTAGGTTTGCCAGACCATAGCAGACGTGAAGTGGTCCTGTCAAACACCGTTGATGAACATGCTTATACGAGAACCCACCTGGGACCTGCACAATTTCCGTGTTGTAACAAAAGCCGCACAGTACCAAGTAGAACTAATTCGTAAAAGTTAGAAACCTGAAAAGCCAGCGTCATCAAAAATGTCCCTTTAATTGACTACTGGGTTAAGGCTGAGCCGATCTCATTTCAAGTTTTTCAATCCTTCTAGCTTGACCGGGACCTATTCACCACCATTCCCTTGTGACCCGACCCGATCAAATCGCGCCAGCTCCATCTTGCACAGTATTTTCCAGATGTCTGCCCCGTCCCCAGAACCCCTCCCTGACTGACGCCACGCCAACCGCACCATCCTGCCTGCGGCTAGTGGAGACGACGGTGCCAGCCCGCCTATCTGACGGCCTTCCTGGCCAGTCGGCCGCAGTTGTCGTCACCCTTCCTGTGCCGGACGTGGCGGTGCAGACCAGCGCTATCAGTGGAGCCCGGCCGGGCCGGTCTTCTTTCGCAGTTAGCTGAGTCGTGCCTGGCTAATATTATATTTACACTACATCCAGTGGCCACCACACGCCATGGCTACCATGTAATGGTTCGGTACAGACGTGTATGTACCTATGTACCGTTCCGTACATTCCTCCTAATGTATAATAGCTTTTACGAGGAAACACATTACACAAGACATGTATCATAAAAAAACATGAAGCCTATTAACAATTGACAACAGTAATTGCTCACTAAGCCCATTTCAATAAACATCATCGAACAACAGCTTGTACTTGTATAACAACAAAGGCCACCCTGTAACACATCGAATAGGTATACAACTATTTACACGTGATGAACATCAAACATCCCCATTTTGTACATAATGATGCCAAAACTCACCTAAAACCTACCTATTTGTCTAAAACCTATCTATTTGTAACTTTCCGGCCTCAATAAAACGGTAATGATACACCATATTAATTGTGAATGTTTTCATTTTCTTTTTCAAATATCTGCACAGTCGACACATTTTCAACTTGTCTGATGCTGCAAATATCTGTTCCTCGACGTGTTCTCCATAGTGGCGCCTCCTCGGGGTGGTCCGCGACTCCGCTGATATCCTGAAACACAAACAGAATAGGTTTGGATGTAGCAAATATGAGCCTGAGGAGACCCAACCCTGGCAGGCCAAGGGGGCGGGTGCCCCCCTCCCCCACATATTTTTTTCGCGATAACTATGAACACGTCGGATATGGAGAGCTGAAACTTGGCATACCTGACCTTTGATTCAAGCTGGATATTGCGACACCAACCACATTTCCCGGTCAGGTCAGGTCACTGACCTATGATGTCACAAGTCAACCTCTGTACGGTCCTCAGAATCCACAACTTCGCAACGTCTTCAGTGCCAGAGCAGCTCTTAGAGCGAGATGGAACTTACCGTACACGTAAGTACTAAGTACCACCCTTAGCTTTGATAGGCTCCCACGTTGTATTTTGCTATCGGGTCACATAAACCGGTTTAACGTAACGATTGCTACTCGGCCAAAATTACCGGAGTAACTGCCCCGTGCTCGGGAAAGGCACTAGGCCGGCCGAGCAAAAAAAAAAGACCTAGTACATATTATCCAAAGATCTCGCAACTTGCATGAATCGGATTTTTTCTCAAGGTCACATGAGGTCAGGTCGGGTCACGTAACCTCACCATCATAAGTGAATGTGAAAATCAAATGAAAGGTTCCATGCTTCAAATTTTGCATTTTGGACCTTGCGTGACGTCATTTATGACGTCGCTAGGGTCATACGAGTATTTCGTCAATATCTCCGGACAAAATTGAGCTAGCGAGTCGAGAAGGCCACTAATGGACTCGGGAACACCATCTGAGTCGAATGATATGCGATATGACCATTGACCTTCTTCGACCAACTTCGTGACCGAGGGGCTCTGACCTGACCTTGACCCAAGAAGGTCGACATCTGAACTTGACCTAACCCGTACAAAAGCATATCATTCGACGCGCCTGAGCGAGGCGAACACGATGGTGCCACAATGGCGGATCTGCGGCCATTTTTTGCAAAGTTTTTGAGCCCGTGCTTTGGGCCACTTGACCTGACCTTAGAAGTCACCGGTTGACCTGAGACCATAAAATTTGGTACTAGTTGATGCGTCCGGTATCGGCGCACACATTCGTTGTTTTTTTTCTGCGAGGCTCTAGCTCCATCAGGAGCGAAACGGCAACGGTCGTACCCCCTCCCTCCCCCGCCTCTTGGCCGGAGCGTTTGTAGAAAGTCGGCGGGTCCGTCGAAGGCTAATGAACATTAAAACCTATGGTGTGTTTCACTGCTTCCAGGGCTTTGTCCCACAATTTTTCATCCTGATTAAATACAGAAAACGTTGAATAATTTTCAACAAAATGAACTCACGTCGGTCACTTTCTGTGGCGCCGCTCCTGCTTGTTCCGCCGACAGCCGAGGCGCCGCTCCAGTTCCTTCCTCTCCTGCCGGTGACGTGTCCTCTGCTCCTCCAGCTCCTGGTTGTGCCGCTCCTGGAGCTGGATGAGCTGCTGGCGGTGTCTTCGTGTCGCCTCTATGAGATTCCGAAGGTGCTCAAGCTGCCGGCCTGGGTGCCGTCCCCGTTCTTGTTGTTGTTGTTGCTGCTGCTGCTGGTGCTGATCCTGCTGCTGCCGCTGCTGCTGCTGCTGTTGTTGTTGTTGTTGTTGCTTCTGCTTCTGCCGCTGCTGCTGTTGTTGTTGATGCTGATGCTTTTGCTGCTGTTCCTCCTGCTGCTGATGTTTTTCGGGCTGCTGCTGCTGCTGCTCCTCCTGCTTCTTGAGGTCTGGAATAAGAATGTCCGAGATTGGTAGAAAACATATATGAGGGGGACACAAATTAAGCCTGGAATCAGAGCGGAGACATTGTACCCAGCTTTTCGAAGTGACTGACACGACTTATTTGGTAGTTTATATATGCTGTTTATCACAACGGCCAGAGCATGTAGCTATAACATCTTTGAGCTCGGTCGTATTCATCACGAACGCTAATACGACACTGGATATGTTCACTAATCTAAATCTGATATCTTACCTCGTGCAAGTGTCTCCTCGTTCTCTAGCTCCTTCTCCAGCTCCTTCCCCAGCCGATGACGCCTCCTGCTGCACTCCTCCATCAGCCGATCCAACTCCTCCCCTGTCCGGATGTTCGGGTATCTCTCCTCCAGCTCTTGTGTTTCTCGTCTGTGTCTCTGCTTCATTTGGTTCCACTGCATCTGGACCTCCTTCTCCTGGTCGTCCCACTCGCTTTGGTGCTTTCGCTCCAGCACTGCACATTGTCTAAGTTTCCTCCGATTCAGCAACTCAGTCTGCCTTTGACGTTTCTCTACAAGGCGCTGCGACTGTCCCTGAGTCTGTAGCTCCACGCACCTGACAGCACTGTCGTGTAGCTGATGAAGCCTTTTTCGCTCCTCATGGTGCCGCGTTTTCATTTGCCACCACATCTCATCATGATGCCGCTCCAGACGCCGGCACTCCTCATCATGTTGCTCGTTCAGACTCCTCTTCTCCCCGTAGCCCCGCGGCTCGAGCTCCTGCCACAGCTGCTGGTGTTGTCGCTCCAGCTGCTGCCATTTCTCTCGCTGAGGGCTAGGCAGACCCTCCGATGTCTGCTCCACGTCTGCGTCACGCCGCTCCTCGCCACCGGCCTCTCCGCCGTTGTCATCCCGCTCCGAGTCTGAAACACAGTAGGTTAGGTTGGCGTTAATAGGTCCATTGGTAGTCGAGAGACTCAGTGGCAAGACAGGCACAACTTAGCGTCAGTAGAGGTGAGACAGGAACTGGTCAGAGGAAGACCAGATGGTTGGGTCGGTGTCAGCTTGGTCAGTGGGGGCGGACGGGAAGGGAAGATCTGTCAAAAGGGTCAGGTGGGGGAGATTCTGGTGAAATGGGACGAATGTCATTCGATGGTCAGATGGGAGGAACATCGGTGGGGTCAAGTGGGAAGTCATTTGGTAGGGTCAGGTAAGAGGTCAGTCCGTGGGGTCAGGTGGCAGGACCTCCCACCTAGGTGGATATAGGTGGAAAGTCAGTCGGTAGGATCTGGTAAGAGGTCAGTCAGTGGGGTCAGGTGGCAGGTCAGTAGGTTGATATAGGTGGGAGGTCAGTTGGTGGGGTTGGGTGGGATGTCAGAAGCTGGCTTTATAGATCAGTATGACTTTTGCCCATTAATGGCAACGTGGTAAAAGGTATATGAACACAAGCAGAACGCGAACACAAAATTGAGTAGCACATGTTTTGTTAACCCGAGCCCTGCTGGGGGGTGTTTGAACACCCCCCTTGTGGTTTTTCGCGAATATCTCAAAAACGGCGGCGCCTCCGCGCCGCCGTTTTTGGTACACCTTATCATACATCAATTCTACACATTTTGTAAAAATTTCAGACCAAGGTCATTCAAGGTCAGGTCACCAGGTCACTTGAAGTGACCTCACCTCATAAAAAGTTTCAGTGTCTGCCATAGCTATACCGAGTGACCGATCGCTTTGAAACTTTCAGCGATTGCTAAGAGCAATAGCATGTACAAAATGTTTATCTCATAATTTTGATATCGATGACCTAAGGTCAGGTCAATTTTGCGACCTCCCGCATTATAAGTCAATGGGAGAAAATTGAAATGCGCCTCTTTTGGACGAAAGACATTATAAACACTCCCAAACACTGAATTACAAGTGGTTTAGACACACTAAACATGAAAATGGTGTCCGTGACCCCTGTTTATGCCCTGAGGTCATCTTAGGTCACGAATGGTATCTTAACAGTTTTTCGCAAATAACTTTTGATAGAGGCATGCTAGAGCGATGAAAACGCTTTAGATGTGTTCAGCTCGACGATACGGATCGACTGATATGCAACATGACCCTTTCCGGTCAGGTCATGACCTTGACCTGAGGTCAAATTTTCAAGTTGACCTTTCAAGGTCAAGTTATAGTTCATTCGATGCGTCTTGACGAGAGGAACACGATGCCGGTAAAAGTAAGCTCGTACAAGGCTTGGGTCAAAAGTTATTGCAGAAAAACTGTTTCCGAAAAAATCGGCTATTTTTGCAGTTTTTGCCCCCTGCAGGCAAAACCGTTGACGTTAGGTCAAATCTGAGAAAATTACTCAGAAAGGGCGCTAATAGGGCTATCGAATGCGCCTTTCCGCGGCGCTGTAGCTCTATTGGTTCCCGAGTTATGCGTTGCCTTCTTGGAAATTGTCGACATTCGACCTGGAAATCGGCGAAATTTTGCCTTCAATGACCTGTGGTGACCTGACCAAAAAATTGACCGAAGTGATTTCCTCATTATTTTTTACGCTCTTTCGAACGCCGCCTACCGCGTATCGCTACGTGGCCCAGGAGCCGAGTTAGAAGGGGGGGGGGGGGTGTTCAAACACCCCCAGCAGGGCGTGGAAATCCAGGACCCCCAGCCGGGCGGCGCATTTACAAACTGTATACACGCCTTCGGAGCGCCAATCATATTGCACCAGCCGCTGGCGTGACGTCGGCCATGACGTCAGAGAAGGGGCGGAGCGAAGTTGGTTAGCCAGCTGTTCTTACAGCGCGGCGGGCGGCGCAGTGCGGCGAGCGCGCGATTTTGTTTGTAAACAATCGTTGCCAAGGCCCGGGCCGTATTGGTATAGATGGTTGCAGCGTGATTGGTTTTGATTGTTTGATTGATGTGATGCGACGAGTATCATGGATGAGAATACTTACGATAGCATAATTGGTAAACACAGTTGCCTGCAAAGTTTGAATGTCAATCAGACCGGTCGTCCACCAAGCGCCTGTGGCCAAGCAATAAGCATATGGTCCTCGCATATCACCTAGAGGAGCCGAGTTCGAATCTCGGAACGGCGAGTTTCTCTCATGAGCTCCGACGTCTAATTGAACGGTTTTACGTAAGCCTATAAGTAATATAAAGCAAACCCCTCTTATTGACGAACGCGGTTGGCGGCTCACACGCATGTTGCAGGTCAGAGTGGGTGGTATGAAACGGCGCGTCTCGACCGTCTCCGTGTTGTTTGCTAGGTGTGCACGCTGTCAGTGCACGGGTTTTGTGCATTTCGCCGAAAATCATTCTGGATTCTAATGAAATCGGACGTCTAAATAGGCCGACTCGGCGGCGCTCTGAACGGCAGACGGCTTAAAAGATCAACTTGAAACTTATACGCCCGTCTAGCGGCATCGATTTTGGCGAGGCACTTTTCGGATCTTCGGCATTTTGGAGCATAGTTAGAGATCCGAAAAGTGCCTCGCCAAAATCGATGCCGCTAGACGGGCGTATAAGTTTCAAGTTGATCTTTTAAGCCGTCTGCCGTTCAGAGCGCCGCCGAGTCGGCCTATTTAGACGTCCGATTTCATTAGAATCCAGAATGATTTTCGGCGAAATGCACAAAACCCGTGCACTGACAGCGTGCACACCTAGCAAACAACACGGAGACGGTCGAGACGCGTCGTTTCATACCACCCACTCTAACCGCGTTCGTCAATAAGAGGGGTTTGCTTTATATTACTTATAGGCTTATAGTCTTTCGGATGAACTATTTTCCCAAACAAGATCAGGGGTTTTAGCTAGTTGTAAATATTCAACACAACCGATTTCAATTTCTCATCGAGTAGGTAAGCTCCACGATCCGCGAGTCTTCCACTCCGCCCCTGCACTTGACGTCACCTGCCAAGCGCCGCTACAGCCCTTCGCTCCGCCCATTGGCATGACGTCACGGCTCGGTCTCCGAAGACGTGTATACAGTTTGTAAATTTGCAGCCGGGCGCGGGTTAATAGTTTCTTTGCCATGGTACCGTACCACAGGATATGTAACGTGCGACTTATTGTTCAGACTGGCCAGCCATCCGCTATTGCCAGTTCACTGGGAAGCACAGCCGATCACGGCCATAACAACCGCAACGCCCAGCGACTCAGGCTCCTTCGGATACGCGCTGAGGCGGGGCGAAGACAGCTGCTATATAGCGGAGTCGACGCTTACAATGTGTTCTGTGCTGGTTACGAAGGGCCGGAGTGCCTTTTAAACGAGCAGTCAAACTTCACTTGCAAAATCAGACGTAGACGCGGTTTGACGATTCATTGTAATGACGAATGTGTGATACGATGAATGGTGTACATCTTAGCCTGTTCTTATTTATTGACATTGCATTAATGACAAGCCGCCTACCACCGGATTTAGACTGGTGACCGGTATGCGTGAATAGTTGGTAGTTACATTCTAGAGTGTGCAATATTACTTACAGGAGTCAACAATTTACATTACATGTAATATCTATTTTTTAATTATAAGTTTGGCAGTGATCCTAATATTATGCCACAAAGTATATTATTTATCTCGTATTTGAGCTATAACATACTGCCCACTGCCCTCATGCATTGCCACCACGTCAGTACTGACACTAGGAGCTATTGAACTTTCAAGAAAAGCGGTCAGCACCAACACTAGAGATGTCAATCGGATACCAACTTTTTGGTATACCGATACCAACCTGGTATTTGGTATTTCAATCGTAATGTGTTTGGTATTTGTCGGTATCATAAGCCCTCACTAATGTATAAGAGGCTAAAAAATCGGTAAAAAGTTGGTATTTCCCTCAGTTTCCCAAGTTGGTTTGGTTTCGGTATTTTCCCATGATTTTGGTTGGTATTTGGTTTGGTATCGGTATTCCGATTTTCCGTAATTGACATCACTAACCAACACCGTCTTACCTTGTGAGTCAGTCTCGTCCACCGCCAGGTAGAATGGCATCATCTCCCATCGGTCCGGCCACCAGCCGGTGACGGCGTCATAAGCCGTCCGCAGCCGGTCACCGGACAGCAGCTGCTGCAGCCGGCGGCGCCAGAGGCCGGCCGTGGCGGCCACAGACGCGGCGTCCATCTCTGGCAGTCGGCGCTGGAGCCGCTCATGCAGGTTAGTGATGAAGAACCGCTCCAATTTCTCCCGGGTCTCCTGGTAGGTACGCATTGGACGGTAGTTACTTATACATCTGTTCTTCACTTTCTGGTCCATACCCCGCCACTGGTCCATCTAACTCGGCGCGTTCACGCGTACAGCCTGCAGCAGCAGCTCGGGACGCAGCAGCAGCTCGGCACGGCCCCGCGGCGTGTCCAGCTCGGCGGTCAGTCCGGCCGGCCGCTCCTCCAGTGGCCGCCGCAGCTGTTGACTACACCAAGTGGCCACCCTGTCCGGGTCACCCAGCAGGAACTCCAGGTTAGACCTGGTGAGGAGCTGTATCAGGGGCGTCACGTCCAGCGTGACGATGTCGCTGGCCGGTGACGTCATCGGCTCTCCTGGCACCAAGTCCCGCCGAGCTGGACACGCCGCGGGGCCGTGCCGAGCTGCTGCTGCGTCCCGAGCTGCTGCTGCAGGCTGTACGCGTGAACGCGCCGAGTAAGATGGACCAGTGGCGGGGTATGGACCAGAAAGTGAAGAACAGATGTATAAGTAACTACCGTCCAATGCGTACCTACCAGGAGACCCGGGAGAAATTGGAGCGGTTCTTCATCACTAACCTGCATGAGCGGCTCCAGCGCCGACTGCCAGAGATGGACGCCGCGTCTGTGGCCGCCACGGCCGGCCTCTGGCGCCGCCGGCTGCAGCAGCTCCTGTCCGGTGACCGGCTGCGGACGGCTTATGACGCCGTCACCGGCTGGTGGCCGGACCGATGGGAGATGATGCCATTCTACCTGGCGGTGGACGAGACTGACTCACAAGGTAAGACGGTGTTGGTTAGTGATGTCAATTACGGAAAATCGGAATACCGATACCAAACCAAATACCAACCAAAACCACGGGAAAATACCGAAACCAAACCAACTTGGGAAACTGAGGGAAATACCAACTTTTTACCGATTTTTTAGCCTCTTATACATTAGTGAGGGCTTATGATACCGACAAATACCAAACACATTACGATTGAAATACCAAATACCAGGTTGGTATCGGTATACCAAAAAGTTGGTATCCGATTGACATCTCTAGTGTTGGTGCTGACCGCTTTTCTTGAAAGTTCAATATCACAAGGTAAGACGGTGTTGGTTAGTGATGTCAATTACGGAAAATCGGAATACCGATACCAAACCAAATACCAACCAAAACCACGGGAAAATACCGAAACCAAACCAACTTGGGAAACTGAGGGAAATACCAACTTTTTACCGATTTTTTAGCCTCTTATACATTAGTGAGGGCTTATGATACCGACAAATACCCAAACACATTACGATTGAAATACCAAATACCAGGTTGGTATCGGTATACCAAAAAGTTGGTATCCGATTGACATCTCTAGTGTTGGTGCTGACCGCTTTTCTTGAAAGTTCAATAGCTCCTAGTGTCAGTACTGACGTGGTGGCAATGCATGAGGGCAGTGGGCAGTATGTTATAGCTCAAATACGAGATAAATAATATACTTTGTGGCATAATATTAGGATCACTGCCAAACTTATAATTAAAAAATAGATATTACATGTAATGTAAATTGTTGACTCCTGTAAGTAATATTGCACACTCTAGAATGTAACTACCAACTATTCACGCATACCGGTCACCAGTCTAAATCCGGTGGTAGGCGGCTTGTCATTAATGCAATGTCAATAAATAAGAACAGGCTAAGATATACACCATTCATCGTATCACCACTCAAAACTCAAATGATTCCTTTTTTGGTGTAAATGGGGTGTGGTCTAAAACGATACCCACTTTACGCCCTACTTAGACCAGAAGAACACCATCTTAACCCTCTCGAAACACCAAACATACACCCTGTACACCTGTCGAACACCGTTCATACACCCCTCTTGCACCCTTTTAACACCACCTTTTTTGGTGTAAATGGGGTGTGGTCTAAAACGATACCCACTTTACGCCCTACTTAGACCAGAAGAACACCATCCTAACCCTCTCGAAACACCAAACATACACCCTGTACACCTGTCGAACACCGTTCATACACCCCTCTTGCACCCTTTTAACACCACCAGTAAACCTATATGACACCCGTATCATACCCACTTGCACCGGGTTTACACCCCCTGAACCAGCTTTATGCCACCTTTGCACCTTATGTGGACTCTTTTTACTCTTGTGCTACACCACCTTGCACCCATTTTACTCCTGTTCTACACTCCCTTTGCACCCATTTTACTCCTGTTGTACACCCCCTTTGCACCCATTTTACTCCTGTTCTACACCCCCTTTGCACCCATTTTACTCCTGTTCTACACCATCTTTGCACCCATTCTACTCCTGTTCTACACCCTCTTTGCACCCATTTTACTCCCGTTCTACACTCCCCTAGCACCCACGGTACACCCGGCTAGCACCATCCATGCACCGCTCCCCAACACCACCGCTCCCCACCTTTTTCATTCGCAGACCCGTCACCCAAGTCAGCCAGCTGGTGCAACATTTATTACAACGAAACTTAAAACGAAACGCATAACTAAGCTTAGCGCATACGAAACTTAGCGCGGCCGCCCAGCCGCGGTGGCCGACTATGACGAACAGTTTCAGTCTATCTTGAAGGAACTGCTAGTCTTGGATGTCGGCCGGGGGCCGCTCAGTAACTAGGAGTAGCACTCTGATTTCTTGGCGGTCCCTTGTTGATAGTTCTCGTTGATAAGACTCTGTTGAGAGAGGTAGTTCCGCCACTGCTGGTTGAACTCGGGCGGAGGGAGCACCAGCGGAGGTGGGCCGTCCTTGGGGCGCTGAGAAGCCGAACCCGGCCGAGGTGACGAGTCTGGTTGCGATGGCTGGGAGTGGGCAGCGCGGCCCGGCCGGGGCGGCTGTAAAAGAGTCGCCACTCGGCGGGCGAGCTGTTCCAGCTAGTCGTCACCCAGAAGCACCGGCTGGGTGGGCCTCGCGCCCCCGGCACCGCCTTCGGGTCGATCCAGCTCGAACTATAGCTGGCGAGCCACCTGGCTACTGGTGTTCCTTGACGGCGTGTCGGCTGTTGAGAGGCACTGGCGCGATGTGGAGGGCGTACCTGGGCGGTCGTTGCCCATCCGCTCCTTGGAAGGGCAGAATCTGGCCGCGGGTAGGCACCGTGGTGCGTCCCGCTAGGCCAGAGGGAGATCCTGCGTCGCACTCCGCACTCACAGCCCACTTAATAGGGGTTTTCACTTTTCACCACCTAGCACTTGGGACGCTCCCCTCGTCGGAGCGTCCTGAGTCGCGGTCACGGCGAAACTGAGCCGTTAACGGCGGCCGAGGGCCCACGCAGGGGCCTAGGCCGCTTCCCATTGGTCAGCCGCGCTGACGTCATGTCGGCAGCCGTTAGAAAGCGCGCGAAAAACGGCGTTGCTTCCTTGTTCAATGAGTGTAAAAGGGGTGTTTCCAGAAAGTTCTTATCCCGATCTTTTCCCTTATTACACCCCGATCTGGGCATCGCCATATGGTGTACAGATGGTGATTCAACGATGGTGTTCGTATAGTGTAAAAAGGGTGTTTCCAGAAAGTTCTTATCCCGATCTATTCCCTTATTACACCCCGATCTGGGCATCACCGCCCTAGGTGTACAGGTGGTGTTTCAACGATGGTGTTCGTATAGTGTAAAAGGAGTGTTTCCAGAAAGTTCTTATCCCGATATATTCCCTTATTACACCCCGATCTGGGCATCGCCATATGGTGTACAGATGGTGTTTCAACGATGGTGTTCGTATAGTGTAAAAAGGGTGTTTCCAGAAAGTTCGTATCCCGATCTATTCCCTTATTACACCCCGATCTGGGCATCACCTAGGTGTACAGATGGTGTTTCAACGAGGGTGTTCGCCTGGTGTGTTGATGGTATATTTAGCGGATCGGTGTATGAGCGGTGTTAAAAAGGTTCATGGGTGCAAACAGAGACTAACAACGGTGTATAATGGGCATCAGGTTGGCGTACTTCTGGTGCATATCTGGTGTAAAGTGGGTGTAATCCCAACTTAAGGTGTCAATGGGGTGTAAATCGTGTTTTCAGTGAACACTAGAGATGTCAATCGGATACCAACTTTTTGGTATACCGATACCAACCTGGTATTTGGTATTTCAATCGTAATGTGTTTGGTATTTGTCGGTATCATAAGCCCTCACTAATGTATAAGAGGCTAAAAAATCGGTAAAAAGTTGGTATTTCCCTCAGTTTCCCAAGTTGGTTTGGTTTCGGTATTTTCCCGTGGTTTTGGTTGGTATTTGGTTTGGTATCGGTATTCCGATTTTCCGTAATTGACATCACTAACCAACACCGTCTTACCTTGTGAGTCAGTCTCGTCCACCGCCAGGTAGAATGGCATCATCTCCCATCGGTCCGGCCACCAGCCGGTGACGGCGTCATAAGCCGTCCGCAGCCGGTCACCGGACAGGAGCTGCTGCAGCCGGCGGCGCCAGAGGCCGGCCGTGGCGGCCACAGACGCGGCGTCCATCTCTGGCAGTCGGCGCTGGAGCCGCTCATGCAGGTTAGTGATGAAGAACCGCTCCAATTTCTCCCGGGTCTCCTGGTAGGTACGCATTGGACGGTAGTTACTTATACATCTGTTCTTCACTTTCTGGTCCATACCCCGCCACTGGTCCATCTTACTCGGCGCGTTCACGCGTACAGCCTGCAGCAGCAGCTCGGGACGCAGCAGCAGCTCGGCACGGCCCCGCGGCGTGTCCAGCTCGGCGGTCAGTCCGGCCGGCCGCTCCTCCAGTGGCCGCCGCAGCTGTTGACTACACCAAGTGGCCACCCTGTCCGGGTCACCCAGCAGGAACTCCAGGTTAGACCTGGTGAGGAGCTGTATCAGGGGCGTCACGTCCAGCGTGACGATGTCGCTGGCCGGTGACGTCATCGGCTCTCCTGGCACCAAGTCTGCCGGGTCGACCACAGTCCACGCCATGAAAAGGCAGCACTGCTGCCGATATTTTCCTGAGTTCTTGTAGTGCCGCCACTGTAGTAGAAGTGGGGCCGAGCGGACCAGCGGAGGAATGGCCTGCTTCCACCAGATCTCCCGGAATGGGGCTGTGGGGCGGTAACCGACACCGTCAAATATAGCCTGCAGTACCAGCGTCCGTCCGAGACGGAGCCGCAGCTCTCGTTCTGAGGGCGGCCCCGTACCGCCCTCCAGCAGCGGATCCACGTTCCACTGACCCACACAGCTTGCCATTAGAATGAGTGTGGCCTGCTCCCTCATCAGCCTTATGGTGTCGATAATAGCCCGGCTCTGGTCTGTGCTGAGTGTAGCGGCCACATCAATGCTGTGATCGAAAAAGCAGGGCAGTCTTCCAGCGGCGAGGTTTGTCTCCAGCCAGTCCAGTATTTTGTGAACACCGTCAGTTACGCCCGTCCACATATCAACGGGCGTGATTTGGGCTAGCCAAAGTCCGGCCGTCTTTATATAGTATGACTTCAATGGTACGGCTTCACTCACCACCTCGTTCTTTTTCAGTATACTTTTCATGGCTTTTACAGCCACGATAGACGCTCGTATCACTGGCGCGAGGTGGCGAACGGCGATCACCTCCGGCCGTGAGTAGGAAATCCGATACTCGATAAGCTCGGTGTCACTGCCAGGCCGGCCGGTCGGTACCAGATGTACCCCGTATCGAAGGATGTCTTTCCTCGCCGCCGCTGGTGGAAAGTCGGCCTCCAGGTGACATCCGTCGAGGTGGTCTTCCGCCGGCCACCATCCGCGCACAGCGATACAAGGCACGAAGTCAACGCCCCCGTCTGTAACATCATCTGTATGTTTGACGTTCACCGCCGGCCCGGCAGTGTCGATCTTGCCTCCCATTACTGTACACTTGTCCCGCATGAGCCGACGAATAGAATCAGCCGGCAGGGCCTCCAGCGGCTGATCATGACAGCACGCTTTCGTTCTGACCCAGTGCAGAGTCACAAAGCCAGGGTTTTTGGTCGGCCGGGCCCACAGCTGTGGTGCATACTTTGTGCTTATAACGGCCGGCTCCTCTCTCTTCCCCACTGCCGCCCAGCGGAAGGGACCGTCAAACTCGAACATATGATCGAAGTCTGACGTCCCTCCCCGGCCGACGACGCCGTCATCCAGGCCCTCGGCACTGCTGCCCGATCCATTGATGGAGGCTATCCTGAGGGGCTGGTTGGGCTGGCAGTGCCGACACCGGGCGGCGGCGGCGTCATTAACATCCTGCAGGGCCGCCGCGAGTGGTTCAGTCACCAGCCAGCGGACAGCGTTTCTCACCTCACTCGCAGTACAATACCCTTGCTGCCCTGCAGAGTGGTTTTTTTATAATGTCATCTGCCAACAGCAGCGTGTCTGGGATCAGGTGTGCACATGATCCGTACTTTTGTACTAACCTCCTCGCTCTCCAATCCAGTCCCCTATGCAGTCTGTCAATCCTCTCCGCTCTCCGCGCACCAAACACACCGGGTCGGGACATGGCTGCTGGCTGCTCTGTCTAACTCGGACTGACTGAGGTCGGCCGACGCCGCTGCACATATACTTATGGAGCCCCGGCGGAAGCCGAGATAAGAGTGAACGCTCCGTGGCTGTCAATGTCCACCGGCGGCGAGTGACACGCTCTGTCGATATTATGTAGAGTATCCACCCTGATTGCGGTCCAACATCCCACATGATTTGCAGATCTCACCGGGATCTGCAAATAATCAATATTAATGGTTACCTCATTGTAACGGACAAAAGGAAAATTGACCGCTATATAACAAACCAAACCTGCGGTCTTTTTAGCAAAGCAAATTCCCACAAAATGCCTTCAGGTGAATCTCACCCCAAGTTAGGCGACAGAGGTGGATTCTATTCTCCACTGAAGACAGCTTCCGGCCGGTGTTGGCTGTCGGTGGAGCCTCTGCAGATCTTCAAACGATAGCTGTGACCCGACGGGCGATAGCTGGGTAACTGATTGCAAGGGGCCGCATTCCCCGCCGCTAATCAGACTAGTGTAGGACGATGAGACCAGTGCAGTCCTGTTGACTGTGCAAATGATAGAAGTGGGGGCGGTTGATAGCCGGGTGTTCAGCAAACAATGTCTGACTTAAGCGGAAAAATACAGCGTTGCTGTGCTAACGGTAACTGGTTAGGGACGGGGGTGTCGCTGACATATCTCGTGATGTGCACTGAGACCCGCTAATCTGCAACGAGTGTCCGGATATTGATATTGGCTGTTTCGTGACAGGGCTGAACGGTGACACAAAACTGATCTAGGTGGGTCTGTTGGTGCACTTTGTTCTGCACTCTATCAAACCTATAGTCTGAGGTGATAGTCACAGACGAGAGGACCGATGCAGCCACGGTGGTCTGGTGGCCGGCACCGCTGACCCTTAGGTCACTGAAGGTCATCAAAGGTCAAGTGTTGGGATGTTATGTCCGTTGTGTCGTACACTCTGAAGAGTTTGGCAACGCCACTATGGTCGTGGCGTTTTCAAAACACGTAAATAAACTTAAAGTGTCACCAAAAATGATCCTTTTAGCAGCAGGAAAAAATGCTACGGTTTCCTGGGCCGGATCTGATGCAACTTCCCAAATCTTCGTGAGCTACCCGGACCCATAGGTTGTTATTTCCTTGTGACCGTTACCAGTGCAAATTTCATCAGCTTCATCGTGTGCAATATACTCGTATATGTGTGTTTTTTTTTAGATCGCTACCCCGTTCCGTCCCCCTTACCCGGCCGGCACCACGCCAATCGCACCATCCTGCCTGCAACTTGGGTAGACGGCGGTACTTACCTAACACCAGCCCGCCTATCTGACGGTCATCCTGGCCAGTCGGCCGCAGTTGTCGTCACCCTTCCTGTGCCGGACGTGGCGGTGCAGACCAGCGCTATCAGTGGAGCCCGGCGGGTATCCCGTCGATGTCTCATGTTTTCACTATATGAGGGCGTCTTTAGAGCTCCACTTTTTTCCACACCCAGCTATAATGCTATTTCGTTGACAATTTGAAGACAGACAGACATACAGGCAGACAGACGTACAGACAAACAGAGAGAAAGAGAGGGGGAGAGAGAGGGAGAGAGAGAGAGAGAGAGAGAGAGAGAGAGAGAGAGAGAGAGAGAGAGAGAGAGAGAGAGGGAGAGAGAGAGGAGAGAGAGAGAGAGAGAGAGAGAGAGAGAGAGAGAGAGAGAGAGAGAGAGAGAGAGAGAGAGAGAGAGAGAGAGAGAGAGAGAGACGCCGAATGTTTCGAGAAGTATAGCCGATATTTCGCGCAAATTAGTTTGGACGGCATTCAGCCGTATTAGCGGCTCTAACGGCCAGCCAGAATGGAGAGAAAATACCTCACCGGTAGCTCTGCCGATGCGGATTTTTTTTAGCCTTGGCCGTGAGCCGCATTCATTGTATCCGACATGCCTACACATGGGCTTTGGTCACATGTGGAAAAAATCCGCGCCACAAGTGGCAAATGAGGCTGAATATCCCAAGCTGCCGACCGAGGTAAGGGGCAGTCGATACTAAGACCTTACTTCGGCAACACCACTACATTAACCGTGAATTCAGAGCTACTGTTAACCTGCGCCCAGATGGGGTCTGCCGAGCAACGCGGTCTGATGGGGGGGGGGGCATTTTGGCCCCCCCCTCAGATCTCGAGAACCACGCAACATAGCGACAAGCGGTAAACGGTGTTGGATAGCCCCAACGGGGAACTACCTTGTGACCCAATTTCATTGACCTCGGTCAAACCGATGACGTCACAGGTCAGGTCAAAGGTCGAATTTTCACCTTTTACAGGTATTTCAAGAAATGCGCTGTAAAATCGTGTAAAATGCATTTCATTGAAAATCATCGATGGGGAAATGTTCTTCAAACACATATTTTGCTATTTGAGGTCACTGATACCAGGTCAGGTCACAGAGGTCAGGTCACTGGGGGGGGGGGGGGGGGTCACAATATGAAAGTGTCGTGTGATACATGTTTTATGGTCCATTTTACATGAAAAATGCGATTATGTGGGTCAGACAGACTTTAGGGCCAGCTTAGGTCACGTTTTGGTCAAGGTCAGGTCAAGGTCAGGTCAAGGTCAGGTCAAATTAGGTCAAATTTCAAAGTTGATATTTTTGCATAAAATGGGTATCGATTCGATGCAGCTCGTCACGGGGAGTTCAATGGTGGTCTCCGTTTTGCGCTACGAGGTCTAGAATTACTAAAAAATTGAGTTCAAAAATTTGACATCATCAATTTTTAACAGTTTTTTCGCTATAACTTGGCCAAAAAAAGAGGTATCGATCTAAAATTTGGTATGTATATCGAAGAGCGCAGGGACTATCACATATATTCCGTTTTTTTTCGAAATTCGAATTTTTTTGGAAATTTTTTGAGTTTTTCTAAAAAAATCATTTTTTTATTTTTGGGGGTCAAAATCCCAAAATTTCGAAAATCCGAGATAGCAGTTTTGTAGCGCCGTCTTTTCTCTACACAACCACGTAAAGAACTTTAAAATTGCTTGTTAACTGTAGAATTGGTGAGCGTTTCAAGATGTCATGTTTTTTGCTCATTTTTACACGAACATGACCTCAGTTTGACCTCAATAACTCCTGACCTGAGGTGACCTGTGACTTGAAATTTTGTGTGAAGGTGTCAAATTGATGCCCGGTAAGGGAACAAAAATTTGGCGGCGCTGCGCGCTGCCGTTTTCTCGCTATTCAAGAAAAACCACAAGGGGGGCCAAAATGCCCCCCATCAGGGCGCGGGTTAAATGTTAATGTGCTGCCAAAGCTGCTTTCCTTCTGGCTCATCTTCTGCGTCAGTGTCTACTTCGGCCTCTACTTGAACTCTTGCTTCAGCTCCTGGATCAGCTTTTACCATTGAATGAGCTACTGATTCTGCTTCGACATCTCCTCCCACTTCTTCTCCAGCGTCTACATTAGCCCCTGCGTGGGTCTCCTTTCAGCTGTGGTGCTGCTGCTGAGGCTTGCAAGACTGCTGCTTTGCCGTGTCTGTGACTGAACTCGTTGTGTCGTGGCAATCACAATGATGAATGACAGAATCACAGACAAGCGTTCGGCATGCTACTACGTCGAGAAATCGCGACTTCTCTCAGATCAGTCTTCAGTAAAATACTCAGCGGGCAGTGTGACCATGTCGTCTTCGGTCTCCCACTCTTCTTGCTCGAGTGCGCCATTCGACCACTGTGATATCTCGCGGGAGTCTGAAGAGTCCAAATCCCTTTCCGATACAGACAAGCCCTCGATGACTGCACTGTCGTCACTCAGCTGGTGGCAGGTAGGGATGTTGATTTGCCTCTCATCGAGCAGTCTTCTGGCAGGAACCTGCATGCTCATCCCCGTGCCGTTCTTCACGCATGAAGCGCACGCTCGTGGTCTGGACAGTACTGCTTCTGGGGCCGTCTACAGCTGCTTCGCACTCGCTCAAGTGCTAGCGTTCCCAGTCATTGGGTGGCTGGCGCCGAGATTCGGCGTGGCGCGGCTCGATGTGCTTGGCTCGGTGTTCGTTGGCATCAGCACGGTGGTGTTCGGTCTGCTCGACTACATCAGCCAGCCCGTTCCGTTCCTGGCCTGGTCTCTGATAACTCGTGTCGCCGAGGCCGTTGGAACTTCGGCTGCTCAGACTTCAGCGCGAACCATCATCATCAACCAGTTCCCGGAGCGGGTCAACCTGGCCATTAGCATTGAGGAGTTCATGATGGGTGCTGGCCTGTGCTTGGGACCAGCCCTTGGCGGCGCCCTGTACGCGGCCGGCGGCTATGGGTTGCCGAACTACGCACTTGGAGCGCTGTTCTTCTTCACTGCCGCTGCCAGCCCGGCCGTGATGCCAACAGTGACGGACCACTCGACCGAGGGAAGCGAGAAAGGCACTGGAGGCCGAAGCTACCGAGAGATGCTTCTCGTGTTTCTCTCTATTGCCGACACCTGGCTCATCATCGCCTCAATTCTGGTCGCTGCGCTCAACTGGACAGCCTTATGGCCCTTTCACACGTAGCAACTTTTCCGGTCGCCGGCGACGGCAACTGTCGCTGGCGATCGCCAGCGACCGGGGTCAGTCGCCGGCAACTCCGCAGTTGTCGATATCAGCTGACCAGTCGCCGGGGTGTGACGTAGCAGTGGTGTCAGCCAATCATTGAAGAGTTGTCGGCGTTGCCGAGAAAGTTCAATTTTTCCAACATTTTGAAGTCGCCGGCGACTGTTCTAGCCAGCCGCCGCTCAACTGTCACGTGACCCGCTTGACCTTGAGTTGGCACCAGATATTGCGCTGCTGATACATGCAGCGGCGCAGCTTATTTTACTGCATTATTCAAGGTACTAAATATTTGGACATGTTTTGCAGGATGATAACTACCGTCTAGGTAATATTGGAATAATATTTATTAGATCTATTATTGAAACAATACATAATATCAATGAAAATACAATCAAACTGCGATTCTTCTACATTGGAATTCAATGCACTCAAGCATAAAACTGAAAAGTGATGTGTACTTGCAGTTCCTCCATTTTTCCTAACGCATCAGCCAAGACTACGAGTACTGCAGATTTTGCTCACCTGTCTTGTTTATTCAACTACAACCCTGTTCTCAATAAATGAATAACTTCGCTGTAACGACATTAGCATTGAAGAAATGGTTGGTGGTAAGCATGGGACAATCACAGTGATTTGTGGTCACACATTTGAACCGTGCTTTGTATGTGAAAAACAGAAAAAAGGCATTCTAGAAATGTAGCAGAAATTCAAATGCCAGAAACGGACCTGAGGAACGGCGAAGCCTACCACCCACATAAAACACAGGCTTTCATTATGTCAAAAACAGATGCTGTATTATCTAAAGCGCTGGATTGGGGAACACAAGTGTACCCCCCCCCCTCTATAACAAAATGCATTTTTCCACACAGTGGATATCACTAAACATGGCGAGGTGACAGTATATGACACCATACGCGCGACTACATAAAAATGCAGCACGCGCGGACACGGGGCAAGGACGGTGGCACAATATGCCGATGACCCAAGAAGACACAAGCCTAGGTCAAAGGTGACAATACTGTGACAGAAATCTTAAAATCAGCCTGGACACAGCTCACTCTTCATGACCGTTTTTATCGAAAATAGACCAACAAAACACCAAGGCTCCTTCGTCCAAAACTCAAAACTCGACATGCCGCTCCAAAGGCCTTGCAAAACAGCGCACACCAACAACGCATAATAGCCAGCAACGCACACGACAGGATTTTCGAGGCCCGAGTCGTCAGCCGCCGCCGCCGCCACCTCCCGGCAGCTGATTGCTGAGTGCCTTGCTCCTTGCCCACCGGCGCCGATCGTGGCGACCTCTTTACTCTGGCAGAATCGACCCTACCGAGCGGCGACAGCATTCAGAAGCAAAATGACAAATGAATTCACTGCACTTATGTCAGAAAATCGAATGCACATGCCATGGTCACACGCGGTGCCGTCCACGGGGCCGGCAGAAGCTGCACACTGTCACCGAACACCACCTGCACCTTGGACGCAATATGTGAGGGCTTGGCGGACGCGCGCCGCCTCGCGTGCGGTATTGGCATCAAGGTCCGGACACGAGGGAGCACACTCGGCGCAATCAGAGCACACCGTCCGGGGCCGTCAGTGTCGATCTCCTGACCTCACAGAAAGTTGTGCAGCACACAGGTGAACGCCGTCAGTGTGGTGACTGGTGCGCAGCACACCGTCCCACGGAGGATCGTCTGTGGGCCGTGGTGCAGATGCTGTCTCTAGGCAGAGTCAACAGTACAGTGGCAGAAGTTGAACATTCAGCTGCTTGACTCCTTTTCGGGTCAGCAATGCCGTCGAGTTGGCCATCAGGTGGTGTTGCAGAATCATCAGGTACTCTTGATCAGGTACATCAGGTACAGAACCTCTTGACTCATCAGGTAACGCTGTGACTTGTCTGCCAGGCACAGAGGGCGGACATGTCAGAACATACTTCAAATACATTTTTAAAAATCATTTTTAACCAAAAGCTCTGAAAATTAGGAAGCCTGGAACAGGCTATTGCTTAGCATCATAAAAACTACCCAAATACCCAAATCAGGTTAGGCTTGGTTTACCCAAATACCCAAATCAGGTTAGGTTTGGTTTTTACACTTCAGGCTAAAATGAGAACATATCTTAACATCATTATCCTTGATGTAGCATTGTTGACCCTTTTTGTCTTGCACAATTGGCAATCAGTATTCAGTGACACAGAATTGGAATTTGTGGTTCAGAAACCTAGCATTATTTCACACGTAGCATTTTAAGGCAGTGCTCATTCTTTTGAAAGCAAGTGTATTTTTTAATATAATTTTCTAGGCAATTCATTTCCTACTGAACATGGTTATGAGACCATTGTTACTAATTTTGGTATTGTTAAGGCAGCTGTAGCATGAGTGGGCATATACTGTAGAGACTGGAGTGATTAAAGTCACTAGAGGCTTGAGGGTTTTTTTAGACATTATGCAGCAGCCTGGGGAGATATGCAGAGGCAAGGGCACCACCAGAAGGGGGACAAGCAGTCAGCACAACACACAGCGGGCACAAGGGGAGAAGATTGTAAAAACTATTGCCTGGATCCACCTCTGTGGACATCCTCAGGCATGCCTCTGTGGACATCTCCAGGCTGCTGCAAGTAAAAAAAAGTATCAAGCCTCTAGTGACTTTTTCCACACTGCAGCAAATGCCCGCTTATTCTTGGTCTGCTCTACCTTCCTCCAATTATGACTTTTGTGTGAAAATGACATTTTTACATTGGTGGAGCTTGTGTGCGCATGGTACACATAAGCCATGCCGGCAGCATTGCTGCAATGAATAGGAAACAGCTCCAGGGCCAAAATACATACCACCTAATACCTGGCCAAAATACATGACATACCTACCACCTACTGTGCATACTGCAATTATTTATGTACTAATAAGCCATGGATTATCATTTGCCATGTGAGCACGCACACACATGCGAACCCAATGCGGATTAAGTTTGGCCTGGGTTGTTTATCCATGGTACCAAGGAAAACTCCAGCAGAAACAATAACAAAATTGCAAAGCTACCTGTTTGATTTTGATTATGCTAATTAATGAGCAGCAATATAATATTTTGTTGCTATCAAATATTTCCTTGTGTCGCACGAATAGGTAGGCAAATAGCTGACTGATGGGTAGGCACTTTGTCCTCAAGGGCACTGATACTGAATGTAAACAATGTTCTTGTGACACAACAAGCAAGTTTTCATTACCTTATGAAACTAGTGTCAATTTCAATGTCATTAAAATATTCAATTTTGATGAAAAAATACATATTTATCACAAATAAAAATCATGGGTATCATGGGCAAGTGCGCCACAAATGACATAAACCCTCCAATATTGTCGAATCAAGATTAAATTCAAGTCACAACAGCTTCACGACAGGCAAACTACAAGATAATAATCCCTATGCTATGTGCAACAAATTAAGGTAGCCACACCAACCAATTTAAGAAAAAAATGCACCACAAATCACCTAAACCACTCACCAAGGACAAAACTGTCATGGCGGCGTCCGCTGCTCGAGAAGAGTCGTCGGCGACTGCGTATATTCGGATCCAGTATGAGTAGAGCATGGGTCCCGATAAATTCTTCAGAAACTAGAGAAATTCTCGTACCATGACCAATAACCCGGTTTACATAGCATATTTGACGAGGCTCTAGCTCGCTAATTTGGCGCTAATTTCGATGCAGTGGTCTAGGTACAAATATTTAGAGGGGATCATTTTGTAAATTGTTAAGCACCATTGGCATCTTTTGCAACATCACGGACGGAGATATAAGCTTGCAACAAACCCTATGTAACCGGGTTAATAAGGACATTCAGGGGAACATTATCGCGCTGGCGAGTAAAAGGACTAACTTTGCATGGTTCTTTAATGCATTATTTCACGTGGCGTAATTCAGGCATGCTGTGCCTAAATGCACCTTTTGCAGGGGCTAGGAAAACCGTAATTTGTTCCAATAAAATGTACTTAAATTATAAGAGTGGAGGTAGATTTAACTAGAAAAATGTTCATCGATCGTTATCAAGCAGAGACCGCATTCACCAGACACATTGCTTAAGCACAGGTTAAGTTTCTGGAATGAAACTTAAACTGGAATGAAACTTTTCTGGAATGCGGGCGCAATGGTAACTCTCCCCT